TTTGGTGTTACTGATCACGTGACATCCATGGTAATCATGGTATATATCTGTACTTTGGTGCTACTGATCACGCACATTTCCAGGTAATCATGGTATATATATGTACATTGTTGCTACTAATTACTTCACACCTCTGGTAATCATGGTATAAATCTGTACTTTGGTGCTACTGATCATATCACACCTCTCGTAATCATGGTATATATCTGTACTTTGGTGCTACTGATCACCTCACACCCCTGGTAATCATGGTATAAATCTGTACTTTGGTGCTACTGATCATATCACACCCCTGGTAATCATGGTATAAATCTGTACTTTGGTGCTACTGATCATATCACACCTCTCGTAATCATGGTATATATCTGTACTTTGGTGCTACTGATCACCTCACACCCCTGGTAATCATGGTATATATCTGTACTTTGGTGCTACTGATCACATCACACCTCTGGTAATCATGGTATATATCTGTACTTTGGTGCTACTGATCACCTCACACCCCTGGTAATCATGGTATATATCTGTACTTTGGTGCTACTGATCACCTCACACCCCTGGTAATCATGGTATATATCTGTACTTTGGTGCTACTGATCACATCACACCTCTGGTAATCACGTATATTGTCATGATTTATATTTTCATGTATTTCGGTGAGGCCCTTTTTTGCAGCCATAGCAACTTTCAATGATGACCCCTGGATAATCCACACCTTCTCGTGACTTTTCATGATCAGGTTCATTCGTATGTTAGGGAATTAGTGATTGGAACAACTGGCTGATATAGTTGTCGAATGAGGAATGTTGGATAAAAACAACGAGGCACCGATAAGTATGAGAGTTATGTCCCGACATCGGGGGCAATTAATCAGACATTATGGCGTGTTGATTACTTTGCGTGATTGGCTATATGTGTGAAGGCCACGCCTCGAGCTCTTAAACTCCTCTGTAATTGGTTAACAGTTGGAGTGTGAATAAAACCGATCTCAGTTAGTTGTGGCAAGCTCTCAACGGGGCCCAAGTCTTAACGCGGCCGGGAGAGAGTTACAACGCAGCTGAGACCCAATGTGACACAATTCGATTCTCTGTGTGTCTTTGTTCGATTGAAAGGGTGGCGAATCCTCTGATCACTGGTACCTGACTCTTGACTTGATAACGCGACAATTAAGTCTTTCACAATATATCTGTACATTGGTGCTACTGATCACATCACACCTCTGGTAATCATGGTATATGTCTGTGCTTTGGTGCTACGTATTACGTCACATCTCTGGTAGCTTTCATATAGAAATGCAGCGATTTCTTCACCCTTAATGTAAAAAGATCAAGTACAAATCTAAAATTCTAGTAGCATACGTCTGCATTGGTCATCCTTCGACACCTGTCACTAGTCTTTACTGGTATGAGCTGACGCAGTATCACTTTTGACCTGACCATTTAAGACCAGTGAAGATGCTAGATTCAACATAGTACTTTAATTAATTTATTGTTTAAGATTCATGTTGGTGGATGTCTAAATAATTTGGTTTTCCGAGAGTTGGTTATTTTGGGCCGACTCATAGAGTGTGTATTCTATGCCGTGTATGCGTCATTTCTGAATAAAGTTCTGCAATACCACCCATCTACCGTTAGTCAAGATACCCATTTCTGACAATACGGTGCAATATAACTCACGAAATTACTATAATGCACAGTGTCACAGTCTTAGGCTGCTTATCGCAATTGAGAGGGCCACCCACAGAACGCACACTGGACAGGGGGGTTCTTTCACTGTTAGTACTGGAAATGAAATACACATACACTTATATATCGAGTTAAAGCTCCTGGCTTAATACCTCTCAAAATAATTTCAAGAAATAAAGCGCAGAAAATACAATGAATAAAGTCACTAAAATAAAGGATTGCTTAGCGAAGTGTGCAATGGTGATAACTCACAGTACCAGGATGTAGAAATGGACGACAGAAAATGGCTTCTGGAACACAATAACAAAGAAATACAG